AGGAGACATTTCTGAGTTCTCTCTCCTTCTAGTCGTGGTCGTTCTGTTTCTGTAGAGCTGCAGGAAAATGTTCAAAAGAAACTTGGTGCTCAGAGTGTTAAACGAACTGCACCGCCACAGCAGACGCTTTCCGACCTGTCTGAAGTACTGGTCCGGGTTGGTGTTGAACAAGCTGCCCTCGGTCGCAGAGATCTCCGCCTCGAAGATGATGCCCTGGCCGGTGCCCACCAGGATGGGCCCTGTGCTGGTCTCGTTGCCCAGCAGCTTGTTCCAGCCCACGCTCTCGATGAGGTGGCCTCTCCAGCGGGACAGACTGCGCACCTTCTGGGTGTTTCTGTTGAGGTACAGACACTCGCTGGTGTTCAGGCTGATCAGCAGATGGGAGCCTGCAGAGGAAAAATAACGAGGAGGAGGATGTAGCTGCTGTCGTTAGGACGTCACACCCCTGACACTCATACGGTGATCTTATAAATGATGGAGCAGCGTTATGTGTGCAGCTTGAGGGGTCGGTGTTGTTGCACTCTCTGAGATTGTTATTGAAACTACATTAAAACATGATCGTAGAAATGATGCTGGAGGTGAAGTTTGTGGATCCTGATATCGTTATTACTTTCAAATCCCAACTGAATGTTTAAATGCACCGGATAGAAGAATGCAAAGACTCTTCAGAATCAAGCTCTATTTAAAAATCAAAAAGCAGATCTGTAATATTATTATAATAATATGAGGAAGGACTTCCAGGGTTTTTCCAGCACAGAGGATTTTGTGACGAGGCCACCAGCACCGAAGGAAAACCACAAGAGCCAAAATGATAAGAATTAAGAATCAAGATTGTACTTTTTATCCAGTTTTCTTAATTGGGTTTAATTCACTTAAACATAACAGACAATTCTATTTATCAAATGCAGATATTTCTGTCAAATAAGCCAACACGGACTCATTTCCTTTATCGTATGTGGACCGATCACGCTTACCACCGTGTGTAATCACCTCCACAAGGTCAAGCTACCAGAAAGCCTCCTGAAATGATCACTAATTACACGTCAAACTGTGTTTTTCAAAGGAATAACCACTGTGGCTTTTCTCACCTGTTGGGTCCAAGAACAGTCGGTGCACTTTGCCGTCATCTTTCCTCCCTAGTTCGGTCTGGTTGGGCTGATCCGGTTTGGCCAAATCGATCCTGTGAACAACAAAACACGAAACCTTTAGAAACACAATCTTGTGTCACCAGCAATTAATCGATTAACTATTAAATTAACCAACTATAATTAATTCATTTGACTAATTTTTTTAACCAAAAAAAGTCAAAATTCTCTGACTGGAGCTTCTTAAATATTAATATTTTCTGATTTCTTTCCCCTTTGTGATAATAAACTGAATATTTTAAGGTTTGGGAGAAAAAAATGAGAAGAAGGCAACATGGAAGCCACTCGGAGAATCAAAACGTTAACTGATTCTTGTGTTAATTTATTAAAAGTCCAGTTTTGGTCAGGGGGACGTTTCTCAAGTCATCGTGGATGTTTACAGACAAAACAAGACATGTGTCATCTGTAGCTTTGGGAAACACTGATGGACGCTTTCTGGCATTTACAAACCAAACCAAAAATCAATTTATCCAGAAAATAATCAGCAGATTAATCAACAATAAAAACAGAATTGTCACTTGTAATCTTATCTGCAACAATGACGACTTTAGAACAAACAGACAACAGCAGATGACAGATACTGACCACAGTGACGAGCAGCTACTGACCCGAACTAATCAAAACCACACATCACCAGTAACCACTGACTCAGGGTTTTAAGTCACGTCTACCTCAGCAGAGTGTCTTTTCCCAGACTCATGCACAGATGATTGTTGCAGACGGCCAAATGATTGATCTTCTCCGGCGGCGTGAAATCGATCCTCTGCTTGTTGAATATCGGCTTCTCTTCCTCCAGTCTCACGTTCACGAAGCCTGACGAGAGGAAGCCAGTTTGTGTCAGTCAGAGCAGAGTGTAAACACGCACGAGCTTTCATGTTTACTGCCAGTTCAGTTAAAGTGGGTGAGAGGTGATTCTACAAATCTAGAAATCTGCTTTCAGGCGACACTGATCGCAGAACGCTTCCTTCCTGTCTCGACTTCCTCCAACAGCTGCAGCAGGATTCATACCGTCTCCAAACGGAGAGAGGAGCTGTTTGCCATTTACGCCAGTGACACAGCAGCAGGGACTTCATAAATTATTCACATTTCCAGGCGTGTGATTGTGATCTAACTTAGCTGGATTACCCTGAATGATTCACTAAGATTTTATGCACAAATTCACACAGTTTCTTCAGTAAAATCACTGGGAGCAATGTGGTCGTCGTCAGGAGGAATCCAGCATGTCTGTTGGTTTGTTTTAGATGTAGTTTCCTCTGCAGGATGGTATTTATTTCTATTTCTTGCTATGTAGTGGATCATTTTAAGGCAGTTTTAAGGCTTTAATGCAGTATTTGCAGGAGAGCTGCTACTGCATCTCATCACCTCAGTTAATAAAAACTAAAGGAGAAAGGCAACAGAATGAAGGTCGTATAATGAAACCACAAATCTGAATCTATGATCACCGTAGCTTCTGCTGAGTGTTTGAGCTGAGGCCTGTATACCTGACATGTTGTATTATTGTCCTGTAGAGCTTCAGAGAGCTTTAAAATTAATTAAAATTCTGCTTCATCCAAATTAACAAAAGGTACAGAAAGACATAAATAAGAAAGGTGACAACCTTTACCTCCAGCCACGATAAGATAAGCCTTTATTAATCCCCCAGGTGGGTACATTTGAATTGTCATAACAGCAAAACGGACAGAGCAAAGCTTTGAGAATTATTAGTAGAAAAATAAACCAAAAACATACTTAAAGACGAGTTCAGATCGTCTGAATTTATTTGGATGTGGAAATGAAAATATTGCAGATTCTTCCTTGAGTAGAAATCCTGACAGAGAGGAAGTCCTGATGCACAGATTTTCTCTGTATTGCACACATTATTGTGCAAGTAGAAAAACTGTTAATGGCACAAAGTTTTGAAATCAAAAAATTCAGCTGGAGCATCCTTTATCTGGAGAAAACAGCTTATGTCACTCTGGACAACACAGTGTGTATAGTTCTAGTGTCTGCAGCAGAGGCCTCCCTGCATAAGGAGTCTCTCTGATCACTATACCCCAAATGAAACCCTGTTGGATGAACTCTTGTGCAGCCTGACATGGAGCCCGTGACAGGAGGGCGACCTACCTGAGTGCGTTATCCCGATGTTGGCACCTGACAGGCGGCTGTGCTGCTGCGAGCTCTGCCTGATGTTCTGCGAGTCTTCATACTCGTCCAGAATTGAAGCCATGGTTAAATACACCCTAACTGACTTCGGCGTGCTTTAATTCCTGTAAATGAATCTAGATAATCCAGACAAAAACACTGGAGGCGAGGACTCAATCCTACAACGACATGGCTAACAGCTAGCAGCTAGCTAAGCTAACACAGCTTCCGCCCGTTAAGGCCTCACTCTTCTTCCTCCGCGTCCGAGACTTTAAATTCAGCAGAAACACGTTGAACATTTACACAGCGGCCTTAATACGAGAATAAATGAAGTTTCAATCATTCGCTCTATCATAGCAGCTAGCTTAGCTTCCGAGTCCACAGCAGGGTGGCTCCTGGTAGTCAGGTGACCCGGAATCATGTGATCGCTGTAGGTGTAGTTCTGTCTGAGCCGGCAGGGGGCGCAGTTTGACCACGGTTACACAGACGGTTTATTATTGAAGGAAACAAAGAAGAACAGGATTTAAATGAATGAACACTATAAATATCGATAATTATATAATAATACATATAATTTCCATGGGCCTCTGTCACAATGCATGTTCATGGTTTTTCTTTTTTTAGTCTTCTTATTTTTTTTTGCATTTTATATTTACTGTATTTTTATTTTACAAATAGATTTTGCTGTTTTTTTAAAACCTATTTTCTGTTTAATTTACAGCATTTTTTGTTGTTGTTTTGTTATTTATCGTTTTCATTTTAGTTTTTAATATTTATCTTTATTTTAGATTTTTTTACAAGCTTTTATTCTGTTGTGCTTTTTGCACATTTATTTATTATTTTCATTTATTTTTCATTTTTAGTTCATTGTATTTACTAAACGTACATCAGCTCTGGTTGTTTTCAGACATGCCATATTCCATATGAATGAAGTTAACTTGATTTAATTTCTGTCTGTTCTTAATATTTTAATGTTTTATAATCATTTTTATTTCAGCAATCGATTAAACAAGTTGTTATTGTGCTCTGTCTTGATTCTTTTGTTAGTTTTAGAAATTCTAATAATTTTTGTAATTTATATTCATTTTTGTTTTAGAAATTTATTTTTCTACCTTTTTTTAATTAGCATTTTTTCTGTCTTGCTTTATGAACGTTTTTAATTTCTTTTTTTTTTTTTTTTAAATGTAGTTATTTATTCCTAAAATACATAACTTGGCCAACTCTGGATGTTTACTGGTCTTAATGATTTAGTGTTTTGTAATTATTTTATTTCAGAGATTAGTCTTACAAGTTATTATTGTGCTCTGTCTTGCTTTTTATGCATTTTAAATGTATTCAGGTTAGTTTTACAAGTTAATTATCTTATTTTTTGGTCTTTTATATTTATTTTATTTTAGACATTTATTTTACTGCCTTTTTTATTTTTTCTGTCTTGCTTTTTGAACGTATTTCATTTATTTATTTATTCATTTATTTATTTTTTTAATTTTTAGTTGTTTATTCCTAAAGTACAAACAGCCCTTTGGTCAACTCTGGATGTTTTCTGGTTTTAATGTTTTAGTATTTCTTCTAATCTTATGTTGTGTTTTGAATTTATTTGAAAGTATTATCATTATTTTTTGTTATTTTTTGTAGCACTATCTGTGTGTGCATGTAAAGCAGGAGGGAGTGTCCATGTAAATCAGAACCTGTCTGAGCAGAATCTCGTCCTGCCTTCTCATCAGGCTTCAGCCGCAGCAGCAGCAGCAGCGTCAGTATGTGAGCCTCCCTCCGCCGAACCTCTCTGTCCGCTGCGCACAGCTCACACCAGTCGGGGGTTCATGTCCTGCTCGACATGCCACCTCACATGGATTACTTCTACCACGAGTCCCGAGTCCCTTCCGCTGTCGGGCTGACCCGGGAGGACGAGCTGGACCCCGGCGTCATCAGCTGCATGCTGGTGGGGGACGGAGCCGTCGGTAAGACCAGCATGATCATCAGCTACACCTCCAACGGGTACCCGACAGAGTACCAGCAGACCGGCTTTGACGTCTTCTCAGGTCAGTGGCATTCAGGTCTTCCACCCTGAGCTCATTTATTTAAGCAGCACAGCCTCACATGAGACGACAGAATATAGAAAAGGTGGATTTATGTGCGTTTCTTTATTCCTAATGTGTCATAATCATAATAAACTAAAAGTAAACTTGTGTTTTCCAACAGGTCAGGTCCAAGTAGAAGGATCTCCAGTCAAAGTTCAGCTCGTGGACACTGCAGGACAGGTACAAAAAACTTCAAGTTTTTACAGAAGATGTGTGTTTTCTAGCTTCTTATGTGGTGTTGAATATTTACCAAAAGAAAAGTCTTGAATTTATATCACAGTTTATATAGAAAGTGCCATTTAAACTGCTTCAATTATTAAAATAACAGAAAAAATAGCTTCTTTTTAGTATTAAACTTTGGGTTCGAGCTTCTTATGTGATCATAGCAAAAGAAAAAACTGCCTTAAATCAATGAAGTATCTGAAAAATTTGCACCTTTTTTTTAGCTTTTAATTTAAATCCCAGCTTCTTATAGCAAATAGAACTAACTTGATTTTATGGCACATTTCAGACAGCAAGTGCAACTTAAACTGCTTTAAATCAATAAAATAACTTAAGAATTGGGGCTAGTTTTAGCATTTAATCTTGACTTCTAGCTTGTTTTTTGTGGTGTTGGATCCATAGCAAAAGAAATAACTTGATTTTATAGCACCGTTTATACAGAAAGTGAAACTTCAACTGCTTTAAATCAGTAAAACAACTGAAAAAATGTTTTTTTTAGAATTTAAACTTTGAGTGTCATCTTATAAAAGACCACAGCAAATGACAATAAAGTCACTTTGACAGCACAGATTACACAGAAAGTGCAGCTAAAACTGCTCCAAATCACCTAAACAGGAGAAAAACAGTAATAACGACCAAACAGAGGACAGTAACACAGAAAACCCGACAGCTTCAAGGGTTAATTCCTACATGATACAACATAAATAATGACTTGTGACAGCGATGAAAGTACAACCTGTCACGTTCTTGCTTAATCCGATACGTGACTCAGTAGCAGGATTTCACATCGAGTGTCGATGCATCATCTGCACTGAGTCAGTCTCTTTCACTGATTTCAGAATCATGTCTGTACAGTTTCACTCTAATGCTGCTGCTGTCTTTGCTCGCTGTGTGTGTTTTAAATAATGTGGTTCTGCAGTGAGCTGCCCCTGTGGCAGGGGTCTAGGCTTCAATCTGGGGTCTTTGAGCCTCATTTAATGCACTCTGGTGACCTTTTATGCACCAATTCTGGCTTTTTTTTTGCATACATTTGTGATGCAAATGTCTTCGTTTATGTAAAGAAAAGCAACAAAAATCAAAATCTAATTGGATATATGTGGATGTAATGAGATCTGAGCTCATGATTTGTAGTCTGGCAGTAAATCAGGACCCCTATCGGATTTTTCTTTTCAAAATAAAAGCATGGAGTGAAACATCCCTGACCTCTGGCCTTTGCTTTGTTTCCGTGCAGGAGGAGTTTGATGAGTTCAGAGCGCTGTCCTACGCCCACACCGACGTCTTCCTCCTGTGCTTCAGCATGGTCAACCCCACCTCCTTCCACAACATCACCAAGAAGTGGGTTCCGGAGATCCGCGCCTACAACCCGTCCTCGCCCATCGTCCTGGTCGGCACCCAGCTGGACCTGATGCTGGACGTGAACGTGCTCATCAACCTGGACCGCTCCAACGTGAAGCCGGTGCCGAGCTCGCGGGGCCGGGGCATGGCCGAGAAGATCCGGGCCGCGGACTACGTCGAGTGCTCGTCGCTCACGCAGAAGAACTTGAAGGAGGCGTTCGACGCCGCCATCTTTGCCGCCATTAAGAACAAAGCCCGCAAGACCAAGAAGAGGAGGTTCTCCGACAGGCGAACCAAAGCTTTCTCGAGGTGCAGCTGGAAGAAGTTCTTCTGCTTCATCTGACTGCTGACCCCGTGGGACAGAACTGTTTTTAACTTATTTAACTATTTTACTTCCACTTCTGTGGCGGTTTGGCATCCACACTTGTTAAGTATTTTGTCCTGGAGCGAACATCAAAGTGGATTCTGGGTCTGGTTTACATTATATTCAAATTTTCTATTGTTTCAGGACAGAAAAACCACACGAGCTTCAAATGGTTTGCGAGAGAATCGAGGCTCTGAAGGAGGAAAAGCCGCAGCATCATGTAAAGGCTGTGAATTTGCATGGTGCGCTGGAACAGAAAGTGTGCTGGAGCAGATGGGCGTTAGCCACCTCTCTGTTGTGTTCTTGCTGTCTGGCTGCGCCGGCCTATTTACATGCAGCAGCTGCAAGTTCAGGTTGCAGTGTGAGCCGCTGCATTCTTCATTACCTGCGTTTAAAAAAAGCTGCCCCGGCTGGTTCGTCTTATCGGAGAACCTGGCGTTTACTCTGAGCTTCATCACCTGGCACAACATTTGTGGAAGCAGGAGGAGGGTCTGTTTGAGTCTTAATCTCTCGGTCAGTTTCAAAAAATCCTCTTGTGTGAGGTGAAAGGTGGCAGGAGAGCGCTGACCTTTGGCTTTTTGTTCCTGCCTGTCATCAATCTGCATCTGTATAAGCAAACCCTGCAGGACTTCCACCCTGCAGATCCTCCCGGCCCAGGCTTTGTTTGTATGCTCAACACACTCCTTGTTTCCCCTCAGCAGCCCGGTTTGTACAGTTAGTGGATGCTAAACAGCCTCTGTGTGAATGTAAGTGTAAGATGGTACACTTTAAAAGAAGCCTCGTGCATGAGAACGTCATATTTTGCACTTCAGCTGGTGCACATCCGTGTGTAGATAGGACGAGGTTTTACTATGCTTCTTGTGGAAGTTCCATGTTTGTGTGTTCTGTTTGTTAAAACAGGTTTTGTCATGTGTCTGTCCATGAAATATTCATGTCTGATCTCTTCTGCTCTAACCTGTGTGTGTTTTTTTTACATGGCAGAGTGCAAATAAATGAAGTGTAACTTATGGCCTGTGTGTTACGTGTATTTTTAGAGCTTGTTTGTTTTGACTTTGCGATTATCGCGTCTCGAGCGCAGCAGCAGCTAACTCACGCTGACGGAGGAGTTTTTAAAAGTAGATCTGCTCCCCGCGGGGCGCCTCAGTGATCCTCATCTCCACTCAGGGTGCTTTTTCCTGAACCACCTCTCCGTCCACACATATGATAAGTAACCTCTGGCCTCCAGCGGTGCACCGGGTCGACCAGTTCTAATGCAGTCCGCGTGACTGTCGACGGGGTTTGGCGGCGGCCTGCTGTGACTGATTGCCTCGTCTGATTGCGCCTGCAGACACGGGAGAGCCTGCAGGAGAGTGATTGAGTCAAATTCACTGATTGAGAATAAACAGTGGCAGCAAGTTGAGCTGAAGTTTTATCACAACAATAGAGCGAGGACGCCGTGTGAAAGGTGGGATTGTGAAAGCTGCACAAGAAGGTTTGATTTTTGAGGCCGAGCTGAAAGAAGATGAGTCTTGTTCATGCAGCAAATGGATCAGAACATGCGTTGTGTTTGTTGGGAGCCGGATGAGTCACATGTGAGCGAGAGGATGAAACGACAGTCACCCCGATACATCAGCAGTCTGTTAGCGGTTAGTCAGAGTGTCGTCCATCATGCGGGTCTGTTTGAACGTCTGTTATTGATGGGCTGAAGAGGGACGAGCAGCCTTCTGACCCACAGGTCAGAGGGGGAAGCTGCTGCTTTGTTATCCGACACAAGTGGACCCACGATGAACTTCTCTGGGCCGACCATGACCACTGGAAGGATGCAACGATCTCTCTGTGTAAAGATGTTTAAGCTTAAGTTTTCACGCCCCTGTCAGACCTGCACTCTGCTCCAATAACCTGATTGCAACACAACGTGTCGGTTTCACAGCTGAATGAACGTCCCGGTGATGTTTACGATAAGTCGTGCCAGAAACCTTAATAGGTCAGAACCGGTGAGATTTCACGGTCAGATCTGACCTACATCCACATTAACGGATGGACACGCACAAATGTCACCAATATTCAGTTTGTGTGCCAGAAACACCTCCTTTACTTTCTCTTTATTAGACTTCAATATAAACAAACTTTTGCTGCAATAAAAACAGACACCAACAGCTCAGATTATTGATATTTTTATCAATAACGAACGTAATCTGGATATTTTTCTTCCCCAAAAGAGGAGCTGGAGTTGCTTGAAGGGCGATTTTCTCCTAATTTATTAAATATCTGCAGCATCAGACAGCAGCAGGATCCATGTGAGCGTCTCCAAAGTGAGAAGGTTGAACACAGCAGCAGCAGCAGCAGCAGAGCTTTCTGTGATTATTCTCATCACTGACATGTAAATACTTCATTTTTGGCTCATCTCTGTACATGATCTTTCTGCCTCTCTCTCAGACCTGCACTCTACTTCATTAATCTGATTGCACATTATCACGTCGGCTGAATGAGCGCCCTGCTCACTTTTCCATGAACGTCGTGCCAGCGACTGCACAAGGTCGAACTTATTTCACTTTCAAGTCTGAACTGCATCCAGTCGCATTAACAGACACACACTCGGTTTGCGGAAAGCTTTCCCACATTTCAGTGCTAATAGTCGGCTCGTGTGCCAAAACCAAAACCAGAGTCAGAAAGGCTTTGATTGCCAAGTAGGTTTTCACATAAACTGACTTATTGTTTTAGAGCAGAACAGTAAACAGTGACGCACAGACTGGAAGAAGAGCTGCCGGTCAGTGTGACCAATCAGAAGCAGCGCTACAAGTCCAACTGGCAGCGAGAATAACAAAGAGGTGATGAGTCACAAGAAGTAATAGAAAGACTTCCAGTAATATGAAGAACCTGTAAAGTCATCTGGAGAGGCCTCTGCCTTCCACATGCTACCGTTTGGGCTGCTTCCCAGAATTTACTAGGCTGCAAAATTAAATGGCCATAAAAATAAGACTTTACAGAGATCACAGAACAGATTAGATGAATGATATTCATCCATGATGAGTGTGATCTAGGCTACGCTAATAGAAGTTATTTAAAGGATTTTTTCTCTGAGTTTATTCAATAAATGCTGGATATAAAAAAAAAAAAAAACAACTAAAAACTGTGGTGGACCAATGAGAGACCTTTGCTGATGAGCAGTGGACCAATGAGAGGCCTTTGCTGATGAGCAGTGGACCAATGAGAGGCCTTTGCTGATGAGCAGTGGTCCAGAACACCTGTCAACAGGTGAGAAGTCTGACTGAGAGTTACAGGAAACACCTGATGGCAGTGATTGGCTCAGAGGGTTGTTCAGGTAGATGTTAGTTCACGGCTCCCATCAGGATGGTTTGCTTGTTGTTGTTTTTTAATATATATTTCCATTGAAGCACAATTCAAAACCAGCATCATGATGCTCACTAGATTTTTATTTATTATTACTTTGTTCAATTTAAACTTATTCCAGTGACTGAAGCTGTTTGTTTCCTTCTTTAACGGGAGGCTGTGAACACATCTGACTGTACATACAGGACATGGATGGGATGAAATGCTGTTTCTCTCAGATCCAAACATGTCAGGCTCAGTGGAAAACAAACCAAAAAACAACTAAAAAACACACATAGATGCTGAGAAATGAGACACTAAAGTCAAACACTGCCTGGTCGGTGTGTCTGTAGAGAGATATTTACAAAAGGTGAGTTATTTTGTAGTTGTTTACAGATGACAGTTCAGCACATTGACAGACTTTCTGCCCTTTTTCAGACCTGCTTTCTACAACTTAACTTAAAGGCATTTGAACGAATCAGGTCTGAATGAGCACTCTGGTCACATTTACAACAAAAAAAAGACTTGCTAGTAGTGTTAATGAGTCAAACTTTGTCACTTCAGCATGACACAAGCCTGTCATGTCTGATAGACACATACAAATGATTCAAGGAAAACTTTCCCCACATTTCAGCACCAACATGCTTAATAATAAAACTTAATCAGACATTAACAGAAGCTGAAGTTTGTTGCTTCCAGTTGTTTAGAACTATTTCCTCTGAGTTTGTTAAACAGCATCAAACAGCAGCAGGATCCATCAGAGAGTCGTGCACAAGTAGATCAACAGCAGTTAATTAAAGTCTTATAATTATGAATTCTCCCCGACATGGAGGGCAGATGGGTGCAGACGAGGATCCGACGGTGAGTCAGACAGCGGTCAGAATCACAGGTTAGTTTGTTGCTTCCAGCTGTTTGGGACGATTTCCTCTGAGTTTATTAAACACCAGACAGCACACATTAATGAGTCATTTTACTGTTAAATCATCATTACATCACGGTCATTAGGTTGAGCTTCTGGTTTCACTGTTTTAATGTAAATAAACGTGGCTGTCACTTATTTAAACAGCACGATAAGCCTCTAATAGTTTACCTGTCGCCTTATTGGTGCATCATTATAGACGATTCATCACCTGGTGTGTCGTCTATCAGCAAAAAGGCTTTAGGTTACGTTCAAGTCAAACGAGTTCACGTCATGCTGCTTAAGCCCGTCGGTGCGGCTGAGTCTCTGGAGTCTTGTGTTCAAACAAAGTTAAAGGAAATGACAAAATTCAAAATGATGTTTGATTTGACTAACTCTGAGGGGGACAGGTGAGAGATGACCACGACCACTGGAGCGGTGGTTTACCTGCCGTTCTGAGGCGGATGTTGAAGGTATGAACAGACGTGAAGCTGCTCTCATAAGTATCATAAGAGCATCAGTATATTTATCATTTTAACATATATATCAAATGTTAAAGCCGTATTACAGAAGTCTTAAAGGCCCAGTGTGTAATTTCTGCTGCTCTAGATCCAAACAATAACAACAGTCCTGGTTTGGTGCTATAGGGAAGCAGTGAAGGATTATGGGAGATGATGTCTTCACCCCCGTTACTGAGGAAAGTCTGTGACACGACTCAGGCATAAATCAGTCACCAGGTATTAAAGCTTTACTCAGATGATGATCAGTTAAACCAGTCTAGAGGCGGCTGTCGGCGCTCAAAATAATCATCCTGAAATAATCATGATTCATGACGAGCGTTTGGGTTCGTTTGCTGCGTTTCTTCAGCTACAGTAAAGTGAACCGAGATTAAATTAGCCTGAATAAAATAAAGGATTTCTCTGAGTTTGAGCATTTGTGATAAATACAGTCAATAAATACACATTGTGAAAAATGAAAGTTTAGTCAACATCCATCCATCCATCATCTCTACACCTTAATCCTCACCAGGGTCATGGGGGGCGGAGCCTATCCCAGCTGACTCAGGGTGAAGGCAGGTTCACCTGGACAGGTAACCAGTCTATCACAGGGCTACACTTAGAGACAGACAACCAAGCACACTCACATTCACACCTACGGACAATTTACAATCACCAATTAACCTCAGCATGTTTCTGGACTGTGGGAGGAAGCCGGAGAACCCGGAGAGAACCCACACATTTTTCTTTTTATTTTTTTTGTACATATTTCTGGTTAAGGTGTATTTATAATTGGAAATAATGGCTGTAGGATTTTTATGGATTCTTTGTTTGCAGCTGTTTTTAGATGTTTCAGTGCAGGAGCGCTGCACATGAAACCTTTCAGAGTGTGTTCACTTATTTACACTCAGACGTGATGCAAACTCAGACGCTTACAGGTTGTTCAGTCACACTCATTGAGCAATTAGCCGAGGCCACGTCGGACAGGTTTTCTGTTCCCAGGCGTTCAGCGAGCTGCTGCTCCTCCTCCTCCTCCTCTCTTTCTCTTCTCAGGGTTAGTCATGTATTTTTCTCAGCTCCTCACCGAGGGCTGGTCCTCCTCCCAGGATCCCCAGCGCTCAGCGATTGTGTCAGGAGCAGTCAACGCTCTTCCTCTGGCTCGGGGCCAGTTTCACTCTCGCTGGGTTTCACTGTTGTCAAACGCTGGCAGTGAGTCCTGGGAATCAGCAGGTGCACCGACAGGTCCGCCTGGCCGGGACCAGGCAGCCGGTTGGCTCACATCTGCTGCTGCTGCTGCTGCTGC